TTTTAAAATGGAGAAACTGACTTTGGGTTGTGTTGTCCCAGAACTTCTGTGATGATGCATGTTACTTTGTTGTTGGCTACACAAAATAGGAGTGAGATGGTGATAAAAGTGATTGGAAAAGACCTAAGCAAATTTCTTTGCTAGAATTCCAATAATTGAATCTGAAAATAATCAGAATCATAAGGTGAAGTGGTTTTGTCTCATGTGATAATATTCAAGATCAGACATGCATCAACCTCCAGTACTAGTGAACAGGCATTGTGCTTGTGATGTTGTGAATTGTGTTGATTACCTTATTTTTATAGATAATTGGTAACAAATTGGTGTCTTTCATTACAAATGTAATTGGACTTTGTTGCAATGTGTTGAGTGCTCTGTGTAGGTGAGTCACCAGTATGCAGAATGTTGAAATACATACCTCCCACAAGTGTTCACACTGATAGCCTTCTCACAAGAAATAAGCATCGTGCTGTTATGCTCAGGTAGGATTGAGAGGTCTGCAATGAAGATACTGCAGTTAGGTACACTTAGTACAGTATAACTGAGGGTTTGAGAACATAGATAACAAAAGGTCTTGTTTACATTTTATGTACATTCTTTCCAGTACAGTGTTAAAATTCTGTCAAAGTTGTTACAGAGTTAAGTGCTAACTGCAGTGTGTGATAACTTCAGATTGATGGCATGAATAGCAGCTAATTTCTTCCCCTTTTTTCCTGAAATTTGTTGAGTGAATGAAAGCAAGAATCTGTTATCCTTTTTTGTTTGAATGTTTTAACATCAAACCTTTGATATCTTGCCAAGCCAGAACTGAAGTATATCACATTTGGCATGTTAGCTTATAGTGGGTCAAGACCATGTTATCTATTGTATTGTAGGGGGATTTTTTTTTGTGTGTGAGAGCTTAGTGATCGACCCATGTGTAACTGGTTCGTGTTCATAAATCATCATTTATACTGTGATCATACTGCTGTGGAGTCCATGTTTATATAAATATTGTTCTGGCCAGCCTGTGATAGAGTCAGCAAACTCAGGTGTGATTGATTGCCTGCTTGCCTGTCTACCAGATGTTTCTTACTGGGATAGGCAGGCAGACATTACAATACGGAAGTTGATACAAATTTTGGGGAAAAAAAATTGTGCTGTTTATTTTATAGATAATATAGTATTGGATTTTTTGGGGAAAATTGAAACTGATGTTCAACTAAAGGTAAAGAAGGAAATAAAGAAGCAGAATAGTCATGTTCTGATGGAGACAATAAGAACAACAGAAGTCATTCTGATGTCATTCCATTCATGAGATATCATTCCATAATTCTGCTAGACTGTTTTGACTCAATATAACATGCATTTAGACAGAAACCTTAATGTGACAGCAACTTTCATAATATTTAGCAAAAATTATACGATTACTGTGAAAGGAAGATGATATCAGCAGTCAAGGTGAATGTTTTTTTCCCTTGTTCAGACATTAAGAGGCTAAGAAGATCAGACTATTCTTTCATAAATAGTATGCACTCATTGGGTTGTTTTAATAAAACATTTTTAATGGGAAGTATTATTTGCAAATAGTATTTATGCCTAGAACTGCTCATGCAAATTTATTTACTCTATATTTCAAAAGATGTTATCAAATCTGTTTAATTTTTAATACCTTTTAGTCACATAATTTGTGTTAACAATGCTCTCAATAATTGATATCTGTTGAAGATGACAAAATTGCTGTTTCTTTGTATTTTAATTCAACCTAAAGACTTGTACCAAAGACCTTTAAAGTTTTATCATTTGCAGCAGATCAGTTAATTTTAAATTCAGAAATTGATTTAGGGCTTATATAAATGAGACAAGGGGTGTGATAGTTTTACCAGCAGTACATATATAGTCCAGCTAAGCTGGAGTACTACATCTGTACCATATTGCAAGAAAATAAAGGACAAGAAGAGTTGTTAAGACACTAAATAGTTCACCATGCACACAGCTACCTGGTTCTGACAAGCCACTAAAGTTATGTACAAATTTATTTTCTATGTCATTATCTTTCATCCATTCCTTGCTGTATTTATTTAAAGTTTAAAACTTTTTAATTTCCATTGCCTCATATCTTAAATTAAAAAGAAAAAACAAATCATCTTTTCTCTCTAGCATTTCATGTATGTTGTGAACTGAATAGAATTGTTTATGGTTGCAGGTCCATCCTATGGAACATAATGGGACGTTTATTGGATGTCTTCTGCTGAATGGACTATACAGTGTCCAATTATTTCATGTTACCTTAAGAGTTGTACAATCTGTTTTAAAATGTGTTATTTTAATGTTGGAAATACCTCAGTCATTGATAATTTCACATGATTTTTATCAATTAAGATGTTATCAATATATAACATTTCTCAATAATAATTTTGCACTGAAATACTGGGAGACAAAAACATATCTTGTTCGTATGCAATTTTGTAATAAAATTCATTCTTACCTTGGGGAAGCAAGAGGGAAGCTAATTCTGTCCAGATAAAATCAATGAAAAATTTAATTTAACTAGCAAGTACTTTCATTTGCAAGACACCGACTCTGCAGCGAAAGTTGGTGTGACGAGGTTGGCCAGCCCTTTGAATCATGGGGTAAAGGCAGGTTATTATGAGCTAGGGTTACTATTGTCATCCTTAGTGTCGTGTTGGGGGCTAGAAACTTGTTTATCATTTGTGATTGCTCACTTATAGCCCAAGGTATATGTTACCCGTGATTGGTCTATGTGACCCATTACTATTGTAGAACTAGCTGTGATTGTCTAATTAAAGCATTTCATATTTATATTACAAGAGAACTGGTCAAGGAAGTACTTGTGGCTGTAGCACCCCCCCCCCCCCTCCCTGCCCAACTTTGGGAAGTGATCAACTTAACTAGGAGAGAATTGTCATTAAGAATTTGATGAGTGTGGTAGGGTTTCATATTACTGTACAAATGTTGGGAGGAACACGGTACATAGGGACTGCCTGTTGCTCCTATGTACATTTTGATTTGGCTTCTTACAAAATAAAAATACTTTTATTGTATTCTTTATTTCATTTATCAGCATTTTTGACAATGGTGATTCACTACTTCTTGCTTTTTCAAGTTTTTAAAAACCAATGCTGAGTACGAAGCTTTTACATATATTGCATATTATGTAAAATGTCTAATGTATGTTATATATGTTACATATCTTATATATATATCATATACCCTTCCAATACCTTGCTCATTGTCATCGTGGGAGGGCTTAGGAGACGAGGACTGAGTCCCAATGTAGGGGAACACACCTACCTTGCCTTAACTAATTTTGCTGGGTCTTTTCTTCTCTCCTTTCCTCTTCCGTATCTTCTTTATTCCCTTTTATCCCACTCATAAGGTGTGAGAGCCATGCTTGAAATTATGAAAGGCTGGCTTTGTGTCAGTCATGAATGGCCTCTGGGAGCCATGGGCATGGTATTCCCTTGATAATTACCTAGCCATTACCCCTTATGGGGACCCTGAGGGATAGACCATTTCTTTTCCCCATTTTATTCAAGCTCACCATGGCCAATAATGAAGATTCTTTACCCTTGATAGGGGCATTAAGGCCGGCCCCTTCTACAGCTAGCCTATCTGAATTTTATTTTGATATTTTTCAGACCCCTGCCCCTCCTTTGACCATGGCTCTGACTACTGATACTAATACTCCCTCTTCAACACTTACATACAACTTAAATCTTTCCAAAATGGCAACCCAGGTTATTACTCAACCACAAGACAGCACCCCTTCCTCCTCCCATTTTACTACTCTTCATCCTTATTGTAGTCCTCCCTGCAAAACTACTAAACTCCACACCACCCCATCTTCCTCTCGCCCTCATCCTTCTACTGCTTCTACCTCAGCAAACCTTCTGAGTACTCTCTTTGGCCTAGCCAAATGGGATTGATTCTTTGTGATCCCCCCCCCCCAATCCCTTGCCTTTTGTTGTCGTGGGGGGCTTAGGAAACGAAGACTGAGACCCAATACAGGGAACTCCCCTGCCTAGGGCCTCAGCCCTCGACTCAACTAATTTTGCATGGTATTTTCCCCCTCTAGCTTTTGTTTCCATCCCTTTTCCATCCCCTTCTACAATCTACTTCCTAAGGTGTGAGAGCCTTGCTTGAGAGGATGAAAGGTTGACCTTGTGCCAGTCCTGAACGGCCTGCGGGAATTATGGGCACGGTACTCCCGAGTAATCTAGCCCTTACCTTTCACTAGTGATGGAGGTGGACCAGTTGATGCCTTTTATATAATCCAGGTTCCCCATGACCAGTAATGAAAATGTAATCCCTTTATTAGAGGCAGTGAGGCTAGCCCCTGTATCAATTAGCCCCACCCCAGGCTCTCCTTTGACCACGACTCCGAACACTGAAACTACTACCCACTCCTCAATGCCTACTAGTGCATTACCCACCCAAGCAGAAAATCAATCTACAGAAGACATTCCTACCCTCCCAACTTCCTTAAATTCATCAACTCTACCCCCGCAACCTTCATCAAGCACCTTATCCTCCCTTATTACTACCTTACAGCCTTATTCTCCATCACTCTGTAATACTCCCTCTTCCACACGTCCCCGACCATCCACCACCACCAACCTTACAGATATCTTAATACTCTGTTTAGCGCAGCTAAATGGGACCGATTTTTCGTGATCCCTTCTACAGCTCCTTACTCAGGCAACACACTTCTCTTTCAACAATGCCTCCAAAAACAAGTAGGCAGAGTCCCTTTCTATACCAGACGCGATCGCTTCCGTCTTGTAACAGTCAGATGAGAAACTTAATCTATAGCACTATCAAATTTAACAGATCATTCTGGCAACCCCATTCCTGCAGAACCTCATCCAACCCCTAATACTTGTACCAGAACTGTCTATCTCTCCCCAGCAAACTGCCCAGTCGATACCAAAGATTGGTCAGACTGTGGAGAAGACTTATTAGGATGCCTCAAAGACCAAGATGTGAAATCAGTACATTGCTACACCATCCCTCCTAGAGGTCAACGAAAGAATCCGACCAACATTGCCAAAATTACTTTCCGTACACATGACCTTCCCTTACGTATCTACATTGGTGGACAATCCCTCCCTGTTCAACCATACCAACCCCCTCCCCGTCAGTGTCAAAACTGTTGGTGCTTTGGACATCCTGCCAAACACTGCTGTTCCACAGACCGATGCCCCATATGTGCCCAACCTGGTCATAACCGATCAAACTGCTAAGCATAAACACATACATGTGCTAACTGCGGCGGCCCGTCGACAAGGTTTCTCTCATACTCCATACTCTAGAAACATCGTTCGCTCAGCCCTCCCCTGCACGCCAAGATGTCCCCATTTCCACTTCTACATTCTACCTCCCTCAGACCAATTCTTTTGCACTCTAAACCCAGACACCCCAATGTCAATTACAGCCCCAACACCATCCCCTCTCCCTCCTTGCAGTAGACAAACTAAAAGTTCTAACCCTTCTTCCCCTACAACATAATCACCTCCACCTACCTTTACGTTTATTCCTGAGACACCAGTCTCCTCTTCTCCCCCCTCATAAGAAAACCTTTATCCCACGAAACTCCAACTCCACTGCAGAAACAATTACCTTCCCACAAAACTCTCCAACCAACTCCACTGCAGAAACAATGGATGACATTCAAAGTTATATGCTTAAGACACAAGATCCCATAACCCATGCTCCTTCCACACTTGAAGAGTTTGCCGATATTCATACCGCTCCTACTAATATTCACCCTACACCCTTCCTCCTACTCCCTCTCAAAACCTAACCCCTCAATTCCATAAACCACCGATATCCATCCCCCCAATACCCATCCTCTTGATATCCACCCCCCTCTTACAGCACCACTACACCCTTCCTCCTAATCCTCCCAAGATAACACATCCCCTTCAACTCAAACTATCCATCCTCTACCACTAATACTCCCCCACANAAATTTTAATTGCGCATACGCATAGTCTGTCTAGAATGTGAAGAATTTATCATGTCGAGTGTCATGTGAACGACGACCAAGACAATATTAGAGAGGTTATTAACCAATTTGAGTCTTTTTTTGTGGAAACCACATATGAAAAAATATCAATAAGGGACCGTTTATATCCAAAGTAAATTTAAAATTAAAACCATCTAGTTCACTTTTTTACAAAGAAGCAATATTGTTGAAACGTAATATTGATTTACAGTTTGTATATGATAAATCTTCCATAATCTTGCAAAAAGGAAAATAAAACATATTTCAGTCAAAGAAACATATTTTGGTCTCTATATACATTTTTACAACAAATACATATATTTATATCACTGTACATGATAAACTATAATATATAATAGAAAACAAAGTTAAATTATATACAAGCATTAAATCAGTAAAGGATAAAGCAATTTTGTCTTGCTTGAACCATTTGGTATATGAACACCATGACACACCATACTGCTACACACTTTATAGGACAACTTTTTTGCTCAACACTGAAATTTAATGAATGCTGTACTTCAAATAGCCAAACTGAAAGACTACATCTGACGAAGAAAATTCATGTGCGTCATAATGATGAACGTGGCATTACTACATACTCTTTTATCACAATTTTTATTCTGATGCGACATCAAATACTTTCAGTAACAGAATCTGAGAAATTATAGATACAGGTGATAGACAAGGTTGCTTTTAATATATTTTACTGACTACTAAGTAAAGCTATTTTATCTCCATTGGAGGTCATATTAAGATATTTTAGTTTTGTGTAAATGAACTAAAATTGAAAATAATGAAAAGCACTTGTAAAGTGTTACAGCCAAAATAACTGTTAAAATAATAATAACAATAATTAATAATTATGATAATTAATAAAAATAATGGCACTTCATTACTTTTTCTCCAGTGACAACGAACAGCCAGTTATTTAACATCTGACAACATCAAAAACACAACTGGAAGAAAGTTTATCACCTAAGCCTGCAGGTGATGTTTATACTCTGATATGATCACCTTATAGATAAATAAATTAGGGATATGTTTAAGGAATTATCACCTTCATTATCTGAATACATCCTCACCATCAACTTGCATCCCTGCCTCCCAGATTTGTGACACAGCAAACTGAATGTGACTAGATTCCTCCTATTACAGCTCCTAGCAGTATATTTTTCCACAGCAAGAAGCCTTGTTTGTTTAGGAGGTTAAATTTGGATTATGTCACTGTACCTTGAATGAATTCATTGGTCATAATCATCTGAATAATGTGCTGAGGAACAGCATCATCACTATCTTAGATAAATAAATGCCAATGAGGATTCGTTTCATTTTTTACCCTTCCTTACTGGATCAAATTTTGTGTCATCTAAAACTGCCAATTTGTAGATGATGTGTAATCAGTAAACCAGATTATTCAACTTCAAGTCAAAGCAGATTTCCTCAAGCTTTCTTGACAAGACTTTACACTGCTAGCAATAGAGATGTTTCTCACACAGGATGGTGCTGGATCTGGCTTAGAGTTCTTCCTGAGCCTCTTCCTTTCTTGTGACCGCCAAAGCTGAACCACAGACCTGAAGTAGACATTCATTTGATTAATACCCCATTCTTGAAGAAATAATAATATTAATATTTTCATGACTTTGTAAATGCAACATAAAATATAACCACTGCAACTTCAGAACTGTCTAGGAAGCACCTCAAAAGCAATAGAAAATACACAATCTAAGAAGAGGAAAACTAGGCTAAATATTAGAATCTAAAAGCCTTGTTTAACACCAATTTGATTATAGCTTCATTAAGGATAATGTCTTAAAATATGATTCCAGTTAAGCACCATCACCAATCAGTTCAGTTATCAGTCAGTACAGCACTACAAATAGTCATAATTAGCAGAGGTCCAATTTATTATATACAAATGGTTGGGGATGATCACATTTATCAAATCTTTATGAATACGCTACATGCTGTAAATCATCTTGTGTTGTACATCAACTGTACAAACTCTTCTTAATGAATGTAATTTAGCATCAG